AGATGCCGACAAAGAGTGAGACGTATGGGAAGAAGCCGAGAACAAGTGTGAACCAGGGGAAGAGGAATTAAAACCATCAGTAGAGGAGGTGGCAGTCGAACTCGCTGAGGAAATGATGGGCGAGGAGGGCTCCGTGGAGGACGAGTTCGCCGAGGAAGTGCCAGTCGAATCCAAAGAGGAAGAAGAATTGAGATCATGTGCGGGTGCAGGAGAAGTATCAGCAGGAGTGGGATCCTCAAAGGCACGCAAGAAGTCCAGATCACTAGGCGCCGAAGGCTGAGAACCAGAAGGCCCATAATATAATATGTGCTCTAAAAATACCACATGACAAGAGATCTGTACTCTAGGACCTTTGTGCTTCTCAGTAACCCAAGAAAACACACTTAACAGATTTTGGAGTGAGCTTAGTCCTCTCTCGACGAGCTAAAAGAACTTAGAAGACACATCCAAACACCTTGAGCCAACCATAATTCGGAATACGAGAATAGAGTGCCTGATACGGACTTTGCTGCTGTAGAACCGGGGCAATCTGGCGATTAATTAAATAAACAGTAGCATGAACCGCCTCAACCCAAAAACTAGAAGGAACCAGAGAGTGAAAAAATATGGCCCTGGTTAGTTCAAGAACGTGACGATGTTTACGCTTGACTAATCCATTATGCTGGGAGGTGCCAGGGCAAGACTGTTGTGAGAAAATACCACGTTCGCGGAGTAGATCCTGCAACGGATTAGAGGTAAACTCCCCTCTAAGATCCGAACGTAAGATCTTAATTGTTCGATTAAACTCGGTTGAAACCATAACAAGAAACTCTTGAGTAATAGTGAACATCTCTGATTTCTGACGAAGAAAGTATACCCATGTATAACGCGTTGCATGATCCACAAACAATGCAAAGTAACGAAATCCCAATCGAGAAGTCATCGGAGACGGACCCCATAAGTCAGTATGCACAAGTTCAAATGGCTGAGAATAGATAGTGGTGTTGGCAGTAAACGAACTCTGAGTCATTTTTGCTTGCAAACAATGAACAAAATCATGAATATAGTCGTTCAAAACAGTACCCGAAAACCACTTATTCTGAAACATAGTACGAAGTCTCACAGAATTGGGATGTCCCAAACGAAAATGCCACAAATCCCAGTCGGACAATTTTACTGAAGCTACCAAAACATTACTACGAGAACCAACTACATGATGCCCATTCACTGCCAATAGATTTTTGCCTCGGTCACTACCACCGGAGCTTCACGTCCACGAACCAGCCCATGCAGACGTCCACCCAACAACCCTGACCGAGAATAGAAATCCAGCAAGAACGTCCGCCCGCGCTTACTCCCTCTCCCGAGTTCCTTCCCCCTTCCTCGTGTCCTGCACAACACATTTATTGTAGTAAAAAATAACCTGACACCCATCTTCGGCTAGCTTCCTCACATAAACAAGACTAGGCACAAGGTTAGGCTCATATAACGTGTCCGACAATGATATCTGAGACTGAGCAACACAACCGACACCCTCAACAGACATAATCGAACCATTTGCAGCCTGTAGATCAAGATAGGGAGCCGAGGAATCCAAAGTACGAAAAGCATCATGAGAGCTACTCATATGATTATAAGCGGCAGAGTCAATATGCCAAAGAGAATAAGATGTATCCTTACCGGTAGCAAAGCAGAAGTAAGTGCTGTGGGCAAGACCTCCTTGAGCGCTTCTTGAACAAGGCGACGCACAGCAGCCGACGTCAAGGAAGATGATGCGCCATCACCCACTACCACAGTCGCATATGCAGGACCTGGATGAGCACCACCAGGAGCACCATTCCCACGTTCACGTCCCCGACAAGCCAAGATAGGGAAATCGGCAATAACATGACCATCTTGCTTACAGTAATTGCAAGTATTCTTCTCCTTCGGACAATTCGCAAGCAAGTGACCCTCCTGTTTGCAATAATTGCAAACATTCCTCTTCTTACGGTGATATTGAATGTGACCGGGCTCCTTATAGTGATGACAAATAATTTCACCCTTAGCAGTGCGGTGAAATTGAGGCTTCCCTCCCTGAACAACAAAGGCAGTCTGTGAATCACTACCATGAATATCCAACTTTGCCTGACTTCGCAGATGAGTATCTTCACGAAGAAGCTCTCCAAGTATCTCATCCATATTTTCTACATTACGATGAAGGAGAGAGGCCCGAATACCCTCAAACTCAGGCCGCAAGTTCATAAAAAACCTCATGATACGAGTGCTACTGCGCTCGCGGATCACCTCAATCGAAACCTCACTAGACATTAAAGAGCTCGTCAAATGATCATGCTCAGTCTAAAGTGTAACAGTAGCTTGATAATACGTACTCACATCAGAATCCCCTTGAGTCAGACGGCCAAGATCGCATTCAATATCAAATTTGCGAGATGCACTAAGTTTAGAATAAAGATTCTCCGGATGCTGCCATATGGCCGAAGCAGTAAGCAAACCCCTCAAACTTAACGCAATACCCTGATCAATGGACCCCCAACAACCACACCATCACTGTGGCATTCGAAGCTTCCCAATCCTCTTTGACCTTAACAGAAGCATCGACAGAGGGCTCTTTGGCCGAACCATCTAAAAACGGCAGCAGCCGCTTCCCTTCTACATGGAGAAGAAATTGAAAGGACCAAAGGGCATAGTTCTTGCCCGTGAAACGGATGGAAATAACATCACTCCTAGAATTCTCCATAGCAACCGAAGAAGCACAACAAAGACACAAGAACCAACAAGAAGAAATAAACCAGGGCTGCAGAAGAAAATCACGAACCCGAAATTGACGAGCTGATATCCAACCCGCAGAGAACTCAATTGCAGCTGAAAACTCAGACCTGATTGACACGAGGCTCTGATACCATGAAAATTATCGAGACTAACACACGAAACACATATACGAGACACAAGATTTATGTGATTTCCTCAACGATGATCTTTGAGACTAGTCTACGGCACAAGGCACAGTTCACGTATATTACTCACGTAATTGATATAGATACATATGCGGCCATATCAGTATATATATACTTGGCCGAACGTAACCCTAAAAGGTTAATTAGGTTTAAGTACTCTTAACTTCTAACACCACACTCCCATTAACATAATTTGCTTGACATTGATAAGTTATTGTTAGTGACTGTCTAAACCTTTCTCTTTTGTAAATTTTCAATTTTAACTTATTTGGTCTTCTCGCGAAATATTGCCTAGTTCTTCTAATATTTGACTTTTGTCCGGCTAGATGCTAAGTAGCTAGGCTCAAAAAGCTTTAACTCCCACTCTTCGCCTTTTAGACGTAGAAAGCTCTCATGAATCATGTACCTCACGCATTTTCGATTTCCAAACCCAAATAAGAACCTTAGCATTTCATTAAGCGGTAATCAAATCTGGATCCAAGTAAGTAACAAACTCATAGTGAAACTAAAAGGTTGTCTCCCAGTTCTAGTCATTCCCTTGTATGATTGGGTGCCAATTCACATCATGTAAGCAAACACAATATCTGGAACAACCTCTTGGTCAGCAGCCATTAACATACTGAAATTTGTTGAGTAGGTCCAGTAATCTCCCAATATAACAGTACTACAAGGAGAGGGAATCCAGTGGATGCCCCAAAATCCACTGTTTCCGCTTTCCACCATCAAAAGTCGTAACAAAAACAATGAAATGTGAAAAAGAGTACAAGAATACACATGATCGATTCCCATGTCTCCCCAATGCAAGAGGAGTGGACAGAACATAACCTTTTAACAAGCTGCTAGCAAAAAATCGTGGGTCCATTGTGTCTCCACTATAGCATCCTTGCCCCTACCATAAACCCTAACCTTTCCATTTCTCCAATCAAACATTGCACCATTAGGGTTTGTGCACTATATATGAATATATGATCTTCTGTAGAGATTTTGTGGGGTTCCCTTTCACCCCCACCACGTTTGTGTCAGCAACCCATAACAATATATATGTAAACGTGACACACTGTGGCCTACACAAGGTTTGGACGCAGCTTATCATGGCCTTGGCACGCAGAAGAAAAAAAATAAAAATAAAGTGGGGTTGCGCATGGATACCACAGCTCAGTTTTCACACCACCACCAGCAACATATTCGCACATTTGCTTCTGCTAGCCGTTTCACCTTTTAGTGTAGCCTTTGAGAAGTCACCACCACTTTATATGGAAATGACTCCTTAGATCTTTCTATAGATAGATATGAACATCATCCAATGTTTTATCAAGCGTGTAGCTGGGGGGTGCAACAGAGCTGCAGACGTGTTCGAAAGTTATAAAGGGACCGGGGCCCACTGCATGAATCGAGTTTATATCCCGTACGAGTTTTTATTCGAGCAAAATCAAAGGATACAAGGTCGTCAAACTCTACTCAATCAATGCTCACAAACACAGCTTGTCAATGGGAGCACAACCTCTCCACTACATGTTTTTTCTTCGTTGAAAATATGGTAATATAATAATTTTAGTGTTTGAATTTTTTTTATTAAGTCTAAAAAATTTCAACTATTTATTTTATTAATAGCGAACGATCTCAAAACAAGTTACAAAATATCGAGCAGAGCTAGCTTGCGAGCTCGACTAGATGAGAACGGTTAAGCCTAAACTTAACTTTTGTTTTAGTAGAAATACTTTTTATCATTATTTTAATTAAAGGTGTGCGTACAAAAGATAAGCACAACATGTGTCCTGTCCTGTCCTGTCCTGTCCATGAGACGAGAGTTGCAAAGAGTTGATAGCTAGCTTGGATCAACTCAGCCCAGCAATTGTGAGTTGATAGATAGCTTGGATCAAGCCCACAAAGGGAAGCATCTCCAAAACCGGATCTTGCCATTATACAGGCCCATATGGGTTGGTTCCACTCCAACTGGCCCAATCCATTCACATTGGCACATCCGCCGCACACAGCATATTTATCGGGGCGTCCGAGCACAGACAGACAGAGAGAGCGCAAACAAAAACAAAGAATTGAAAGGCTATGAGCCGCTACGAAGGCTTCGGCGTGGTAATCAACCCCGACGGAACAATGACCCGCCGCCGCCTGCCGATCGATTCCAGATCCGAACCCTGCCCCAATCCGACCCAGTCAATTCCAGTCCTCTCCAAGGACGTTCCCATCAATCAATCCAAAAACACCTCCATCCGCCTCTTCTTGCCCAAGCAAGCAGCAATCAATTCTTCCCCTCCGCCCAAATTGCCGCTCCTGATCTACTTCCACGGCGGCGGATTCGTCCTCTGCAACCCGGCCTCAACCATCTTCCACGACTACTGCTCAAACGCCGCCCTCCAGCTCCCCGCCGTCGTCGCCTCCGTCGGCTACCGCCTCGCCCCGGAGCACCGCCTCCCCGCCGCCTACGACGACGGCGAGGAAGGCCTGCGCTGGCTCGCTTCCCACGCTGAGGAGGAGCCCTGGCTGAGAGACCACGCCGACTACGGAAACTGCTTCCTGATGGGAAACAGCGCCGGCGGGAACCTAGCCTACCACGTCGCCCTCCGCGCCGCCAACGGGATCGCTGCTGGTCAATTGAAGATCCGAGGGGTGATACTGCACCACGCGTTCTTCGGCGGGGTGGAGAGGACCGGATCTGAGGAGCGGCTGGCGGTCAACCCCATGCTGCCGCTGGAGTCGGCGGACATGGCGTGGGAGATGTGTTTGCCGGTCGGGGCTGACCGTGACCACGAGTACTGCAACCCGATGGCCGGCGGCGGGTCGGAGCTGCTGGAGAAGCTGAGGGCCGTCGGATGCAGAGTGGCGGTGATCGCCTACGAAGGGGACCCGCTGGTTGACCGGTCAAAGGAAGTGGTGAGGATGATGGAAGATAAGGGGATAGACGTGGTGGCCCACTTCGAGAGCGGTGGGTCCCATGGGCTGGAAATTATGGACGCCGAGAAAGGGAAGGAGTTCAACGGCGGCGTGTTGAAGAAATTTGTGCAGTCTTGTTTGGCAGCTTAAAAGAATTTTGTTCCCGCTATTTTTCCTGAAGCATTTTCTCGTTTTTTTGGCCAGAGATATTCTGGAATAATTTCCTGAAGCACATTGGGACTGAAATTTGTAGATTTGGATTGAACTTACTAATAAATGCTTATTACTTGTGTGTTCATCGTCAGGAATAACCAACAAAGCAACACACCGCAAATTAAGGAGGAAATAAGAAAAACATTTTGACCAACAAAATTTTGTATTGATTAAAAAGAGATCGTACGCATTACGCCATGATATACAATTAGGAAAGAAAATCCAGACACCACTAGATGGTCTCACTGACCACCTTCGCGTCCCCTTCAAATCGAACCTGTGAGAGGCCACAATCCAGACACCACTGGATGGCCTCACGAAGGACTAATAGTTCCACTATTGGTGGATCATCAATATAATCGATATGTACACCCTTAGCCAAGACAACCGAACCACTCTGGTCTTTAATCACCATTTCTCCCTCCGAGTGTGATCAATTCCTTGTTGCGTTGTCGCACATGCAAGTGACCGAGAGAGGGTCTGAAGCATTCGCGCTCTCAGTCTGGGGAGGGGAGCTGAATTCACACTGTCAGGTGGTGACCCGATTCATTCCTGTATTTGTTGGTGATGCCGTAAACAAGTTTGTCATTCGTTCCGATAAGTGAAATGAAAAAATGGGCAGTGCAATTTTGCAAATGAAACAAACCACACAAAACCTAATAAGCTGGTTAAAAAAATTGCTTACTGTTTGGTAAAAAGTTAATTGTGGTTCAAATTTTAAACCCGGTGGGAATTGAGAAAGCCCAAGTCTCACGGACCCAAGGCTGCCACGGGCTCGGTGCTGTAGAGGCTGGAGGTTAGAAAACGGTTGGGGCCTTGGTAGAAGATTGAGTCTCGTGAATGGTTTACAAGGGATATTTTCCTTCCATTGAGGCTGAGCTTTTATTTGGGCCGAAGGCTAGCAAGGGATTATCCACGGGTTTAGGTTCACGAGTGGGCTGTCATATGCCAAAATCCACTTAGAAATTACTAATTAGAATGTTCAGGCTCATTTCATATTCATGACTTGACAGAAAAAATCCGATCTTGTTTTGTTCAGACTAGTTTTGGGGTGAGCAATGAGTGTATAATGATTCTGTATGGGTTTTGGTGAGTCTAGAAACACCCATCACTTTGGTTGATCAAGGAGGAAATGACTAATACCACTTGTGAGTTGTGAGTGAGTTGGGTTGGTTGTTTGCAGGATGGTAGGAGGGTGAACAGGTTTGGTGGGTCGACGAGATACTGTTCGATCAATCGGAATTAAACAGAAGAAAGTAAAAATTTATTATATATCGCGACCTATTCTTTATTTCTATTTGATGGACTCTATTTTTTCTAAGGGTAAATGGTACATTTGATCACTGGGATTACTAAATCGTCTTATGTTTAGTCACTAAAAAAATTAATATCTATTTTGGTCACTCGAATTACTAAAACAGGTCACATTTAGTCACTCTCCCGTTAGTCTCCGTCCAACTCCGGTCACTCGAATCACTTTTTTTTTTATGAATGTCACTCGAATTAATGAAACATGTCACATTTAGTCACTCGAATTAATGACTAAACATGACATAATTTAGTAATCTCATTAACTAAATGTGACATTTACCCGAAAACTAACAATCGATAGTATCGGTTTTATGATACCTGTCATCCAAACATATTAAGATCCGAAGTGGTCCACATCTAATTTAGATTACCGTACAACAAATGATTGACAGGATACATTAATTAACCATCAACCGGAGATATCTTAAAGTAGACAATGTTTTTTTACCGATCACAATAATATATAAGATAGATTTAATTATATGATTATATGAATCAATACCCGATCTCCCTCAATAAGATAACTAATCCAGCGTTAAGCACCATGTTAGGAATAGGTGTTTCTTTTGTTTTCTTCTCAATAATTTTCATTAGGTCTAGTAAGTTCCAAGGCCTGTGATTTGGTCTTTGCCAGGCAATTAATTAAACTTGCACCGTTAAATATTATTATAATTATTAAAATCTATTAATAGGGAAGGAAATTTAGAAGAGAATAGTATCCAAGATAAAAACAACAGCAGACAGCAAAGGAGAAAGAAAAAAGAATTTGAAATGATTAATAATGAAGGATATTAGATTTGCTCAATGATTAAGGTGGGTGAAATGTAAATTATCATTTTCTTGCTCTCTTGAGCAGATAAAAAAACATATTGTAAGACAAAAAGAGAGCACATAAAAACAAATTCAACGGCCACAAATCTCGGATGAATTCAGATAAAATAAAATAAAGGTGTCTAGCTGAGTAGCTGTGCTGTAGAAATTTATTATCCATAGGGTTTGGTAATCTTTTCACATTTGATTAGGGAGAACTATTTGTTCGCAATAATTTGAATTCTCCAAAATGAGTGAATAATAAATTCATTCTATATTTTTGTACACATCTTCTTAAACGAAATCCAACTCACGAATTTGCAATTTGCACAGTCTCTGTTATTGGTCATCGCACAATGTACTTAAGTCAATTACTGATGATCATCACATTTAAGCGAGAACTAAAGAAAATTCATTTTTCTTTGTGCCAATAAGTACACATACGTTACTCATCAAGTAACGAAAAATAAAAACGGACACGTTAAAAATTCGTACGGTTCGAATCGGTCACCTCAACGTCACGCCGTCCTGTTCTTACACCATTAAGTTAATTTGGATAAACAAACACATTGATGTTACATACTATAATACTATTTGGAGAACTAATTATGGCAAAGTACGAGAAACCAAAAATGGGAGGTGAAAATGGATCGTTGATGGGAAGAGAAGAGAATGAGGAAGTGGAAACAGCTGTGACAATTACAAGCCAGACTAGCCCTCCAATAATTAAGACACGATAAACAACTAAATTATGGAAGCAAAAAAATAAAGGAAAAAAAACTAAGAATATTATTTATAAACGTTTCTTCTTTGGAGTTGCCACAGTACAGCACTATGAACAAAGGAAGAATGTATCTATCGAACTATATTGCTTGTCCATTGCAATATTGCCAGCAACACAACATATTCGACCACCTTTAGTTTGTGAAATTCTTGTACCAAAACGAATGAATGAAATCCTGTGTGGCAAAAGTTCATTTGTCCAATTGCTTGGTAGCAAGCTCAGCTAGATTTCTCTTTTGATTCCCAGCTCTTTCATTTGTCCAAAGTTGAGATCGATGGAGTTCTCAGACAAGATATGGTTGTTGATCAGTAGCTAGAATGCTAGATACGGTAGAATAATTTAAGAGTACTTTTGTTTGTTTTGGGTTAGGTTTAAATTGATGATATTATTTCGCTCGATGTTTATTTTGTTTCTATGGTTATTGTGAGTTTGGTTTGGTATGTTTGTAAGTCGATGCTATAATTGTCAATAACATGTTACTCATTTTTTATGCTACTATGTTGTAAATGTTACCGTTTAAGTTGGCATGTTTATCATCATGCTTATAGTATTTTGTATCTTTGAATTTTTTTAATGTTGTTGTAGTTCATTTTTCAAGAAATATTTTTAGCATTCTTGTTATAGGTTAATTTGTCAATCAAGAACTCAATGCGTAATATTTGATTTAATGCATCTCTAATGAAACTTGTGACGGAAAATGTTAAAATTGACACGTAACTAGTTATGTACTTGGTTTGTTGATGAGATAATTCATTTATCATTTCTATTAGCCAATTTGTCAAAAAAATGTAAACTAGTTTGGAATTTTAGTCTATTTTTATATTGTTGTACTTCATTCTTCGAGAAATATTTATAGACCCTGGTATATGACTTTAATACATGTCAAGCGACATTAATCTATTATAGGTTCAAATATTTGGTTCAAATTCAATGCATTTCTATTGAAACTTGTGCAAGAAAATGTGGGGAAAAAATCACACATGGGATCCACATGTGTAGAGTGTCTTGTTCAACTACTTCAAAAGTCTCAACAAAACACAATGATTTATTGCATGATATTGTAAATTTCACCTCTCAAATACATGTAAGTAAATATTACACAATTGATAAAAAAGTATACCACTTTATCACCAAACCAAACAATTTTCATACAATTACGAATTCTTGTAAGGAAGTGATGATTTAAGATTAATATTCGAGTTATTAATATCAACTAGTTTCATAAAAGAAATCAATTAGTTCTTGATATAATATCATACCATGTGATCATCAAGATGTATTGTGTTAGAAGCCTCCACAACCCTAAACATTAACAACTCATTTAAACATGTATTTGTGCAAGTTCAAACCCAAACTTTGATTTACATTTGACACGTTATTTAAATAAGTGATATAAGATCCATACTTTGAGATCTCTCAACAACTTGAATTATTTAGCTCCAAATTATTTTTAATTCTTTTTACATGTCTTCTCCTAATTAATGACATCAAACCAAACTATCGAGTTCTTAGTATGAAAATGATGATCCAACCAAACTATCGAGTTCTTAGTATGGGAAATGATGATCCCAAGTCCCAACACATTGAAACGGGTTCCGGATTTTAACCTGCAGTACGCCTACTTCCATCTATACAAGATTAATTATTGAAAAATTTACTTACAAATGTCAATTACCTGGGATTATTGCGTAATAAACATTATCTTAAATTCTTAACTAATAATGGAAGAAGCAACGAACCTAGGAAGATGATAAAAATCATTATCCAGGGGCAGGGAGCGTCTTGTTGCAATTAACTTTTTTTAATAATAATTCGAGAAAATATAGGATTAATTGAAGTTCCATATAGCCTTGGTTTCAGCGTGGGGATTCTTAATTCTATTGACGTGACACTAATCACACTATTGCATCCAAGAGACGTATATGGGTATTGCTTATTGTTATAGGAGGAAAACAGTAGAGTATTTGGAAAAAATTAAACACAAAGTTAAAAAAAATTATGACGAGGAACCTTTACCCACGAACTTCAGATT